TTTATTGAGCAGATAAATCACACTGATAAACAATTGTACTACATTCGGCTGATGCATGTCTACGCCCCGGTCTACGCATGTCCGGCAGGGGGTACAAACCAAGGGGTCGTTTAGAGCCGGGGAATAAAAATCCCCAGTAGGGGTAAAGAGTACTTGTTTTATAGCTTAGTATGGCCAATGGCGTATCTAGTATTGTAATAGGGGTGCTGATGGGGTGGGGCCATCTCAGTGGCGTATCTACATAACAATGATATAATAATAATAATAATAATAATAATAATAATAATAATAATAATAATATAAGGTGATTTTATGTGATTTTAAGTACTTGACCGTGATTTTGCACTCCCCCCCCAACCCCCGTGGATACGCCTGAGATGGCCCAGAATTGTGCTTTTAGACCACAATATTAGGGACCTATTTGCATAGGCAACTGGTCCGGCGACCTCGTCATGGCGTAGGACGCTGGGAGGGGGAACAATGGTGATGTTTGCAAACGCAGTTTAAATCACACATAAAAAGTTGGGAGAAATCAATGTAGTGACGCAAAATACAATTTTGAACACAATGCGTTGGACAGGACAGGCAAATAATACTAACAGGCCTCGTCCTGAAAAGACAAACCGATTCAGAGACGTATCCAAGGGGAACCGCGGCTCTCTCCTTTGGCGATTTATTTTGACTACATATAAAATGGTGATACGATAATTATGGTGAATTTTACTATAAAGGTGTCATTTCCGGCCATAGAGGTACTATTTCCTCAAGGGTTGACTTCTCTGTTTAAGTACCGCCCGGCCTGGGTCACCTTCTTTCGAATTCCTGGATCCGCTACTGATGAATTATTACTTATTATAATTGTTGTTAGGTCTACTAATATTATTGCAATTTCCACTTTATACCCTCAAAACAGTCCTAAAACGTCCAGAATGCGCTACCTCCCTGTGGTCTTCATCCCCTATACCCCACTGAAGGTCCTCGGCGTAGGAAAGGGGACAGTTCCGCCCAACCCACCCCCGCTGGGTACTACGTACCTCGCAAGACGGATCTCCCTCCCTTTGGAAAATCCTCATTACGTCCCTGAACCGATTATACTATGTTCAGATGTTGTAATTGGTTTTAACCGTTGATCTTTACGACGTGGGAAAATTATTTATAATTTCAATCATATTTGTTTAATATCCATTTAACAAACTTAATCGAATACGAATTATGGTAATAATAATCATTATTTTATTAGGCCTACTATACAGACACACACACACCTGTGTATAAGTATATGTAGGCTATGTATACACACACACACACACACACACACTATACACATCTAGATGTGTATAAGAGACAGGCGTAATATTATATATATATATATAATGAAATAAGTTGCTTCATAGGTAGATTCATAGATTCATAAATTAGAAATAAAACAATGTATGTATCTGCTTCAGAATAAAATATTTATACGAGTACTGCCGTACTATTATCAGTAGTGTTACTGTATTATATTCTTATTTTGATGTGTATGTTTATATACTCCGATGGCATTTTGCGTCAGGATAAATGATACGAAAAGATGTTTTCCCTACCTGACGTGATATAGTATTGAATGCTCAGTACATTCCCAAATAAAGTTGCGAAAAAAAACCTGAATCACTTGCGAAATTGTTTTTGCAAGTATTTAAAAATGTACTGAGCATTCAGTACATATACCGCGTCAGGTAGGGCAAACATATTTCGTAGGTTTATATACTTGTGCATTTACGTCAAGTGAAACACATTTTATTTCGTGTGAGTTTTTATGTTGGTGCATATACAATGTACGCGTGAGTGCAAACAAAGGCCGTAACAATGTATATAATTTTGTAGATAATAGCCTAATTATTATTTATTTTAGACATGTTCTGTTATAATAATAATAATAAAAAATGGTTCAAGTCTGTGGGCGTTCAACCATGCTCTTCTTTATAAAACTACTACAGTAAGACTAGTCGGTGTTGCATGATGCATGGTAGGCCTACTCGAGCCTTGGATATAAACTACACTATTATTCTTATTATTATTATTATTATTATTATTATTATTATTATTATTATTATTCTTATTCTTATTCTTATTCTTATTCTTATCATTATCATTATCATTATCATTATCATTATCATTATTATTATTATTATTATTATTATTATTATTATTATTATGATGATCTCGCCGTTCCATACTGGGACCAATTTTATTTCGCAATATGTTGACCTTAAAAGTCGCAATCTATATCGAATATGCATTATATACAAAGGGGGGGGGGATCTCAAATATCATAGTGATATTAAGGCGGGAGATATCCAGTGCGACCACTCGGTGATGAAAAGTGGCACAATTTAGGAATGCAGGCTCGACACAACCAGTGCCTCCAGCCCGGCCCGGTCTCTCAAAAATTGGGGAATACTGTGATTAGAAAACTATTTGTTGATACCTTCAGCCCCTACTTTGGCTGAACGTCGACTATATTTGCGCAAGATTTTTTTTTAACAAAACCAATGTTCTAATCATAGATTAAACCATTTCTAGCGGTCAAAAAACTTTATTTTGAATGCTAGGCTTTTTAAAGGATGGTAATGAATAACCTTTAACCAACAAGACGTTATTTTCGTCATTTCTTTAGATTATTATATGACGTATACAATATAACAGAAATTCTGCAATAATAAAAATAATGTTTAATAATAATAGTAATAATAAGGATTATTGGTAATATTAATAGTAATGGTGGGAATAATGATGGTTATAATGATTATAATTGTTATTATTGTTTTTTTTATTGTGATTGTTATGATGATTATTAATTATTATACAAATAATGAATGTTTATGAGTGCAATGGGAAGAATATTTTCATGAGTTGAAAAATTGACTGTTCCATTCAACGAGGCGAAGCCGAATTGAATGGAGCAGTGGTTAATCTTTCAACGAATACAACACATTCATTATTTGTTTTATAACACACCTAAACAGATCATTGTCATTTGATCATCTTCCATGACCTACTCGGGGAATATGCCAGGCCCTTCCTGGCCCCGGACCAACATTTCACCCCACCCTTGGGCCCGCGAATACATCTGCTCGAGTCAGTTCGGCCTAGCCATTGAAAAAGCCTATCCTGGACCTATCCTCCGCGCAAAACCTGGCCCTAGGCCTATGCTATAGGCCCCTGGTTCTTAATAAACGGCCCGCGGCAACATTTTATACCAAAGTCCTAGTTGCGAGATAACATTCAAAACATTCTATGTATTTTCTCGGCTAGATCCCCAAAAAATCATGATTCAGTTGCAAGATTAAATATTCAAGAGACGCGTATATATTACTATATAATGTAAATCATGAAATATATAGGCTTAAGTTACATGTGCATATATACACATCACGATACATCAAGACGTCCAGCACCCAAACTTTAATGCATGTGACTGTCTAAAAGACTACCGTACTCAATTTCCCGACACGAGAAACACTGCACTGCCGTTTTAAAATAGCAGGAGTTGGAAATGGGAGTTGTTATTCTTGATGATGACATAATTAATGTTGAAATATTGAATCCCGACACGATGGCGTGCATTTCGATACTTGGAGTATGTATTATATCTTATCGGAGTTGTTATAATAACAACTTACTGGAAGTAGTTACATTTTGGGAGTTTATATTGTCGGCTAATACTGATAACAATATTCAGACGCATCTAACCTAAAATGAGGGCCCTAATTGAGCAAAATTATGGATCAATTGTAGACTATATGTTTTATGCGATGCGATTGAAAGCAAGTTAGATGCCGATCACAACGGATAAATAAGTTGAGTTATGTTTTGTTTAACGGCCCATCTACATCATTGACGACAGCGGGTTTTCCGCTTAACAAATCACGCGAAAACGGGTTACTGAAGCTTGACTAAGATTTTATGCATAATTCCACCCATTTTAGCATTTTAGATAAGAATAATTCTGAAAATATACAACCTGGTCTTTTCTTCGATTCCTTGGTCAGCTTAATTCTAATACGTATTAATCACGATATGGCAATTTTTACGGAATGGATTAGCGGCCGACCGGGTTCATGGTTGTCCTTGGTAGGGTGTAGGCCTATGTTTAGGTAGGATATTGAAGTAAGGCGATTACCCTTACTGTACTGCATGAGTACATCTTCAAGGGTCACGAACCGTCCAAATTTGGCGATTCCTCAAGTAGCCTCTTTTGGATGGTTTTGTAATCACACTGAATCCAAGCTCGTTTATACATACCTCCATGGTTTATACAACACTCTAAACTTTGCCGTCCTGATAAGGCGTGTAATGGCGTGTAGTATAAACGGGTTGTTTGATCAGGTGGAATTTATACGACAAATGAAAGACAAAATAATTACACAAAAAAGAAAAGTTCCTAGGCTTATCCGAAGTTAAATTATGGGCGAAAAAATGATACTTTCGTGAGTTATGACGAAAATAATACTAAAAAAAAATAATTGGTCGGGTGATTTTGTTTATGTATAGGGAGGGGTTATAAAAAATTATATATTATATAGAAAAATTATATAGTATATAAAAATTATATATTATATAAAATATTATATAAAAATTATATATTATATAATATTATATAGCCTAAACATATAACGTAAAAACCCACGTCAATTTTTGCTAAATAATAAGGGAACACATGGCGCCTCATAGGGGACGATCAACAACTTATTTTTTTTTTTACGTGGCCAGGCGACATGGTAATACAATTTGATTCGGGTCAGTGGTTCGCTGGTCACGTTACAGATATAACACTCGAATTGCACAAGGTAAGATATAAACTATTTAGCACGAGTTGGTTATTTTTGTGCATGCACAAGGATTGATGTTGTGGTACAATTCTACTTATGTATACAAGTGACCGTGCGTAAGCATACGGTACGTGCTCATTTTTATTCAAAATACCGTAGCAGCGATGTAGTAGATCTATCAATAATTGTACTCAAGCCCGTATTCATGTTATGACACTTAACTGACCTACTATATTGAAGAGGCGATTGAGTCTACAGCAAGGACAGTTAGTAAGAGCCACAATAAAGGTAGAGCCAAAAACGGTAGGCCTAATTGGAAATACAGTAAGTAGTAAATGTGGCCACACCCACACCCGCGACATCTCTGGAGATAGGTAAAGCCATGGGCTCCAATTTTGGGAATGGTGAAATATGAAATAATGCATTACAATAGGCCCTAAGTGTTTCTCGTACCCGTGCTGTGTGGCTCATCATTACGTCACAACAAACGTCTATTTACTATTAGTATTACCTTATCTGGGCCCTCTCTTGACTATTCCGAAGATAACAGACCAGCGGGTCTAAAAACGACAGTGGCAAAGATTCCAGGGGGCTATGAGGGATTCCCCTTCCTCTTTGAGTTGAACGTTTTGGATCTGCGTGTGTCAATTCACAGAAACATAATCATATATTTTAATTAAACATTTTGTGTGATATCTATTGTTACATTTTAAATGTTCCCCAACATTCACTGCGTCAATTGAAGCTGTTTTCCTCTACAAAAAATATGGAATCTCCGCCAGTGAAAACATTACTGGCCTGCAATGTTTGTAGCTCCCGAGGTTCTGTTGTTTGCAGTACCACTACGCTTCTTTTTTTTTTTTTTTCATAAGAACCAGTAAAATTTTGCCCAGTCTCAGTGTTCTTATTTTTTGGCCGATTTCAAGCTCAACAATTTCTTATTTTGTTCTTATTTTACAAATTTTCAAACATACTTTAGAAAATTATTATTGTACAGCAGTATACACTGTACTGGAATGTAGGAAAATGGCCCTAGAAAAAACTGCCCCTGAGACATGGGCCCCAGAAAAAAGGCGTTGGTAAAAATGGCCCGAAATGATGGTACGGAAAGTACAGTACACCTACAGTACTGTTTTACAGTCACACCTACACATAAGGTACAAATATTTTTTTGCTTTTCTAGTTTTTTTTAAATAAAAATCTTATATGACATTTTTACCTCAGCCTCAATTTGTTCTTACTTTGTTCTTAATTTTTAAGCAATTTCAGCCTCATTGTTCTTATAAAAATGTGTTCTTATAAAAAAAAAGTGTACTACACACCAGAACCACTGGTTAAAAGGCTAGTCGACGAGCTATATGTAAGCACACAGCCATTAATAATAATATGAGGATGATCCGTACTATTACTACTGTAATACTAAGGCCATAGATAATTTAGACCTAAAATAAAATTTAGAAGGTTATGTTTTAATTTAATTTAGCTAGTATACAGAGAGTGACGGAGAATATCTTTTGACTTCATTCAGTAATTTTTGTTCAATGTATGAGCGAAGACTATGCGCATAGTAAAAAAGTGGAATAGTCGTAAATGTCATTTAATTGTTTGCGCTACTTTTATTTTATTTTCACTATACAGGTATATAGTTTCTGAGCATTACAATCGAACAAAACAAACAAAGAAATATAAGATGATAAAAAGCACCAGGAAGATAAGTAGTAGGCCTAACATGGGAATTGTCAAAAGTGTGAAACACTAACAAATGGCCCTCAAATACTGACATATACATACCCGCACAAATACAACGATAAAACAAGTTAAAATTATTGGTTAAACTAGGCCTACAAAGCTGCCCTCAGATGCCAGAAATATAAAGTTATAGCAGACAATTAATAGTTCAATCAACTGTAGACACCGTGAAGGTTAATATATAAAGTATATTTTATTGATTAAAGCTAACTTGTGTGTATTATAATTTTTAGAATGGCATCAGTGTCTGAACCGCCACCGTACGGGAAGTACAAGGATATCAATGCAGACGACACACCATCTAGGTTCAACAAGTGTATGTCCGATGATCTAAACATCCAAGAGCGTGTAGCACACTACGACGCATGGGCAAAAACTTACGATGAGGTGCACCTTGATATTCAAATACTTTTACTGACGATAGACATTTAAACCGATTCGTTCTATTATACTTTTCTTATTGTTCGTGGTTTATATAACATCATATATGCCTAGTCCTTTTAGTGGTGTATGTGTTGTTAAATACAAAAATAATGAAAATAAAATAGTACACTACTGTTGTATCATTTCCTTAAATGTAATATAGTTAATATTTTAAGTACGGATAAGAGTACATTGGTATAAATAAAAGAAAATAGCGTTTAAAAAAGAACGTCAACTGCTTTATATAAGACAATGAGCTAAGGTTTTATCTAGCATTTTTCGACCTTTTAAAAATCATAAGCAGTTATCCTGTGTACTTCTTCATTTTAACTTACTGAATGTTCCACTGATTAATCTCAGATAAGAAAGTAAAATGATACTACCAAGTAATAAAATGCATGCTATCGTGTTGAATTCAATGTTTCTCGATATTATCCCAACACGATGGCATGCATTTGAATACCTGGAGTATGTATTATACTTTCCTATTTGAAAATGACCCCATAATGGAGTCCTTTTTTGTGCTTTATTTTTCTTATAAGTAATTTTTTAATGTACTTTTCATCCCATTCTGTGAGTGATAAGTACCATCTTGAAATGATTATGTATTGATTGTAATATCGTCTTTCTTGTATATTCAACAAATAGTTCTGGTTTCCATAAAATCGCTACATTTAGGTCAACGTAACGCTCATAGGTCAATCGGATTGGGGACCTTCCGGTTCACGTTGAGTGAAAACAAACAGTTTAGCCACAATGTAGCGATTTCATGTTTAAAACCAGGTTTTAATATCATGAATATTAGTAATATGTAATTTGTATAATGGAATGGTGAATTTTTTCTTCTTTTTTGGAAGGACATGAAATCATACGGGTTTACAGGACCGGAAATAGCCGTTGAGTATTTAAAAAGATACTTTAAAAATACGAACGCAACTTTCCTTGACTGTGGTGCCGGCACGGGGCTTCTTGGTGTCTACGTACGTATTAAGGATTTCATTAGCGTTCATATAATTTAGTAACTCATATCTGAATAACTACTATTGTTAGTGTTAAGACAAGGAATTTTAAGGCCGTTTTGAAACCGAGTGTTTAATTTTGAGTAAAGGGAATTTAGTTTTCAGTAACATTTGTCACTGATACGTAGTTATAGGCAGTTGCTATTATTGCTACATCATTCCTAACCCAACTGCTTAGTCTAATAATTACACCTTTTGGTTAAGCATGTGCTTCTTGGTGTCTACGTACGTATTAAGGATTTCATTAGCGTTCATATAATTTAGTAACTCATATCTGAATAACTACTATTGTTAGTGTTAAGACAAGGAATTTTAAGGCCGTTTTGAAACCGAGTGTTTAATTTTTAGTAAAGGGAATTTAGTTTTCAGTAACATTTGTCACTGATACGTAGTTATAGGCAGTTGCTATTATTGCTACATCAGTCCTAACCCAACTGCTTAGTCTAATAATTACACCTTTTGGTTAAGCATGTGCAGTAATCTGTTTTCTTTACACACTGCTCTCCTTTCCCCTGACCTTTAGCCTGTTTCACATCGACATTAAATCAAGTTAACAGGATTTTTTAAGTTGATGTCAAAAAGTCAAAAAAGTAGTCCCCTAATAATAGGTGTCCCCCTGAATGAATTGACATAAGAATGAGTTATAGTTGAATTATAACTAATTTATAACAATAATTGGCAATGCAAAACATAATTTATTTAATTGTATGATATAAAGTTAAGAGAATCAAAACTACCGTACAAAAGTTGTACCGTATATGTTCCCGATATTCTTTCTTGGTTTGAGTGCAATGTTAATGACCAAATATTTATTATTATTATTTTTTTTTGTTGAGATGTTGAGTTTTCTATTTGATGCACAAGATTGAATATTAATAGATGTTAACAACTTATATGAAAATACACAAAACAAGAAATCTCCATGTTTAATAGTCAAAATTTAGAAGATTGAAAGTGTAACTTTAATAGGGGTGTCCTCTTGATAGGAGATGGCTGTAGTGTAAAAAGATACATTTCCTCTCGTTTCACGGAAAAGTCTCCCCTTAATAGGGTGTCACCTAATAGGAGTGTCAAAGTCACTTTCAAAGTAAGTAACTCCCAAATCTCAGAATCTCAGAAATAGTCCTGTTGTCACAGGATTTGAACCAAGGACCCTGGGATTGAAGGAAAGCATCTTAACCACTCACCTATACAACTCCACTCTATAATTTGACGTACGTGCATGTGATTTACACAGTGAGTGTGATATATCACCATACCCAGAGTATGAACAAATCACATGCATTTTTCACAAAACAAGTTCTCGTAATCTCGAAAGCTCCGATGAGGGCAGTATAATAGAGGCAGTAGATTATTTTAAAACAGGCGTTAATCATGGGAAAAATATCCTCCATGCTTAAATACTATACGCTGTGGCGTAAGTTATTAATATTATTTCGGGTTTTGGGCACGGGTTCATAATTGCCATTAATTATTACCACCAGGACACGTCATATGGCACGGTCGGTTAACGATATGTTGTAAGGAACTGAAACTCTGAGTACGAATCGCCGCGCCACGGTGTTTATTTATTTATTTGATATTTGAGAGCTGTTTGATAAAACATTTAGAAGAGCTAATAAGATAAAAATGTTTAAATAATTGGAATGTTCACTTGTACACAAGAATAATGTCTTAAAATTGAAAAAAAAAATGTCTTAAAATTGGGGAAAAATGAGTGCTAAGCCGTAATTTGAACTAACGATCTGTTCAATAGAACACATGGTTAACCGTCCGTCCATCTATAAGACGTGCTTTTTTTAATGATAATGGCAGTATGTGCTCAGTCCTTGGTATTGGTGGCGCACTTCGTAAAAAAAGATCTTTTAATTAATCAATCAGCCGAGTAGCTCATAATAAGAGAGATTTTTCAAATAGTTAGATTAAATAATTAAAACAAAAAATTAACAATTGAATACAAGACGCGATTCGAAATTCACGGCCTTTGATTCCTTAGAACCATCGCATAGAACTGTCGTATGGAAGGCACGATTAAACGACCGATCGCGCCATCCATACAACATGTATTTTAAAGTGGTAATGCCATTATACAGTCCTTCCTGAAACCCACTCAGCTGTGACAAAAGCACCGTCCATCAGCAAAAAAAGCACACAATCAGCAGGGTACCCCTAGAGCTCCTCATCGGAGCTAAAAGGTTTGTAGTCAATAAAGCATTACACAGATGCGCCTTCATACCGTTGTTGCAGACAGAGAAAGTCTGTGCAGACTTTCCTCCTATGACACGCGTCCCGTCTGTGAGAATTGTATAATTAGTTCTAGTACAAATAAGCTTTAAAAAAAATGTACGCAAACGATATTTACTGTGATGACATTTTATGAAGACACATAATCGCAGATCTTATTCCTGTTATGATTATCATACTAAAGTAATTTCATTTTACTTTAATCATATATTTTTTTTGTTATCCAGACGAAGGAACTAGGATACACAAATTTCCATGCTTTAGATGCATCCAGCGTAGCACTGGAAAAGGCAAAATCGCGTGAAGCATATACAAATTTCATTCAAGAATTTATTACAACAGGAAAGCTTAGCATAGAATCAGGTAAGAGATTCGGCACTATTTTCTACATATCAGCAAAGAGTATAGAATTGCAAGAGGTCCGAATGCCCTGATTTTGTATGCATACAATGAAACTTTTAGAAATGTACTACCGCGAGATAGGGGGCGTCCTATTAATAGTCGAATAGAGTACGAAACTCGAACATTCGTTCTATTGACGCAGCACGCGTTCGATACGAACGCGGTTTACGTTGGTTTGAAGGACGCCCTCTACTTCGTGGTAGTACTTCTGAGATAGAATTGCATTCCAATCGTGAGCTATTAAACGACTAGAGTTCTGACAAGATAGCTGAGAAATGCTGAGTTATGTGTAACATCCATAGAGCAATTAAACAACTAGAGTGCTGACAAGATGGCGAAGAAATGCAGAGTTGTGCATGTGTACCATCCAAGATGGCCGCCGAAAGAAAGCGCCACCTTCAGGCTTACTATACATATTATTACCATAAATAAGCCCTCTGACTGACTATTATTTCATTAATGATAATTAGTATTAATAATAACAAATTATTAAACTATCGTAGGCAAAAAGAGGCCAAGCATCTTATTCAAAAATTTAAAAAAATTAAAATCGTGTACATTACACCTATACACCGCAACGCTCGAGTTTCAAACATACGGGTAACTAGCCGTACTGAACTGTCTTTTTTAAATTGAGGGCGCCATTGAAAATGATAGTGCTTATGCAAAATTTGATTGGCTGAAGCTATGGCAGACATCTTGGATGGTACACACACACAGCTCTGCGTATATCGAACATCAAATACATTGCAGTTAGCGCTCTAGTATTCTTATTATATCGATATGGTACCATCCCAGATGGCCGTTGTAGTAAAGCGCCACATTCAGGCTTGGTATAAATATTATTACCATAATAAGAAGAATCATTCATAAAAGCGTGCCCAATATACGAAGAATCACTACAATCAAGTGGACATAACCACATCATGGAATATATACCACTCGAACATAACGGCGCAAACGCAACATAATTTGGTACAATCCTCCTTACAGTAAAAATGTCGCTACCAACATTTGGAAAACTTTCATAATTATTGTAAATAATATTTTCTAAAACATAACCCGGTGCACAAGGTTTTCAATAGCAACAATGTAAAGATCAGCTATACCTGCATGATAACAACACCCCTTATGACATCAAATGATCGATTATTGACAAAGCAAGGTCATATAGCAACAAAAGTAAAAGATGCAACCTATGTCTTACAGAAAATTACCACAGCATCACTTCTGACCCTACAACAACCCTCTCAAGATCCGAACTCATATCAACATAATGCCTCCATAAATCAAAGTTCTTGCTTAAAAACCATTAATAGTTGCAGTACACAGATATTTGTCCATATACAGGTTACCCTTATGCAAATTATCATAACCATTCTATATGTGCACGTTATGTAAATTACCTTTATGCTAATCATCAACTTTAAATCTATATATGCAGCAAACACCTTGTTCATACAGATCTGATGATTGTATGAAACTGCCAGTAGTCTCAAGCTACCCTCAAAACAGCCGTCGACATATTCATTCTTATATAATAATATACATGAATCTATGCCTCTGTATCTATTATTAAAAAGAAAGCCGATCCCAAAATAGGCCCGAAATATTCATTCTTAATTAGCGGACATATTCTATTCTAATTTCGGTCCGCCGATCATTTATTGTCAATGGATGGTTTTACCTCATAAATTCGCTCTTTTAGTATAAATCAAAATAATATTAGTTGAGTTACTGGAAGGTGTAAGTTTCAATTATTTTCAAAATATAGAATAAGACAACTTGTATAAGAGTAATACAACCTATTTACATTATCTAAATTTTAACATAAAAAGAAAAAAAGAAAATGTACAAAATATATCCAACAGCATTATTACTACAATTCATTGTAATAATTATGTAGGCGTATACGATGGTTTGGTGTGTTGTGGTTGTTTTGTTCCTGGTCACTTGGAACCAGATTGCGTTGAAGACTGGTGTCGCATCGTGAAACCAGGTTCGTCTTTTTTAATCTTTTAATGATCTGCATTTTGTAACAGTAAAAATAACAGCAATTGTGTGTGATATGTGATGGCTTTGTCCATATCGTTGATTTGTTCAAGATGAATAAAACAAATAACATTAATTAAATGTGAAAAAAATAAATATCCATTATAGAAATTATAGTAATTATAATCATTTATGTTTATATGTAGGTGGTATAGTTATAATTGTGATGAATCAGCGTTGGCTATCAAAAGAACCATCGTACAATGAAGGAAAACTTGAGGGCGCTTTTCAGAAACGAGTTGACGAAGGAAAGTGGGAGCTAATTGTTAGAGAACAGAGGGATGGTTACTTTGTCAACGATGTTGCAGAAGTGTTTGTTTTCAGAGTAAAATAAATGAATGCTTTATATCAGTTCCTTTGAATTAAAAATACCGGGACTAAAGCTAATTTTTATAAAATTGTAAACGGTTAATATAGTTTGATTTTTACAAAATTGTAAACGGTATTAATATAGTTTTGCAAGAGAGGAAAAGCTGCCAACTTAGATTTTCAGCTTGAAACACCCTTTTCACTATGTTGATGGGGTTCATAATGATGGAAAAAACTTCTTTTACTCACTTGTGAACACGTATCAGTAACTATGGTTTAAAATATTTATAAAATTCATTCATAGTATAAGTCAGTATATGAAACAACCTCGAAGAAAGTAGTGCAAGACATTCGGGTAATATATTATATTTCTATATTGCGGTATCTATTAAAAAACATAAAACAAGAAATTGTATAAACTGAATTAATTGTTGAGTATTAGTAAATAAAAAAATTAAAATAGTAAGTAGAAAAGTAAAATTCATTCATAGTATAAGTCAGTATATGAAACAACCTCGAAGAAAGTAGTGCAAGACATTCGGGTAATATATTATATTTCTATATTGCGGTATCTATTCAAAAACATAAAACAAGAAATTGTATAAACTGAATTAATTGTTGAGTATTAGTAAATAAAAAAATTAAAATAGTAAGTAGAAAAGTAAAATTTATGTAAACATTTTTTGAATAGTCATCCCAGAAAATATAAAATTATGTTTAGTCAAAAAGTCAAATTACAAAAATAAATAAATACGATTTCAGGTTGATATCAAAGGGTCGGGTACCGCCAGCCCACAGAATCGCGCTAAGTGGATATGGGATTTGTTTAAGTAGAGGGAATTATAAAACCGTTTAGTTTTACACCTGTACCGGTATTCTTTAAAAAATGGGAGTGTTACGAGTAATCATACTATGAGAGTTATTATCTCAGAACCATTTCTTCAAATTGTCGTTATGTGCACACTTGCAAGATAATTTTGGTGCATAGCAGGTATCTGCGGGCTGTCAATACCGTACCTCCAATCCAAGCTCAATCAGGGCAGAATCATGTGAATAAAAGCCATCAAAAGCCAAGAATGAATTTGCACGCCCTTTTTTGTATTTGGCCTTGCCCGGTTGGGGGAGTCCAAAATGCCAAACTGGGGCTACGTATGTATTCTAGAATGAGTCTTATATAAATTTGAAAGCTATGGTAAGGACGTGCTTATCGAAACCAGCTTGCTTAAGTAGCCTAAGAAGAAAACATTCTGATTGCCTTTTTTGACTATTGCACTAGTGTTCCTCCCATTAAGATCGTTATAAAAAACAATCCCGAGGAGTTTGACCTTATCAACAAAGGAAAGTAAGTTAGTTATCATTTTCTTCAAAGTTTGTTTTTATCCTGTCTTATGTCAAACTTATCCGTGCACCCTTTCAACTAAATTACTCTTATTCTCAGTGTTATACCACATACATTTCTATTAAAGCCTGAGGGTTGGTGTGGACTCTTCTGTCTGACCAATACCTAAATGCTTTCGCCGCCCCTATAACACAACTCAGCGAAGAAACAGATCCTCAATAGGCTATTCTAATTAATTATATTACATATAGTTTTTGCTTGACATAGATTGCGTACCACAAAGACGACCCGTATCTCTCGTTAAAACTCGACTCAGCAGCAATGCGTAGCAACGGCGGCTGAACGTGTTTTAAAGGAGGGGGAGAAGGTGGAGAGAGCATTTTATAAAGTAATAAATCACCATAGGGTGTCGGCAAGCTGGAAGGTCCAGATATTTGACGAAGTTTGATGAATTGTATTATTTATTTTATAGGGATCAAGTTTACTGTTATATGACTTCATAATTTGTTATATTTTCCGAACAAAGTCTAAGTCGAGATTGCATCCGCGGTCACAATAAATTATTCATCATGCAAAAAATATCCTTGATGTACTATTCCCTGACGAAATCATCTCTTTTCCCCCGCCGGATAAATATTACCCTTCTAGGAGCCGGAAAATGGTACTTCAACAGGAAGTCGAAATAGAGGGGGCTCAGGGAGAGAGACTTGTCCATAGAATGTCCACCCGCCTCAGCCCCACCATGGTTGGGGCTGAGGTAAATGAATAAGTTATTAATTATGGAACGTCTCCAGATGGCCGGAAATGGCACACTCAGATTTAGCTTTTTTGAATATAAATTTCTGTTTTCTCCACCTTTTAATAAATTGGAAAAATTTAGGAGGGTGGAGGTCCATGCCTGCTTGCTGGGCTCCGCCACTGTTTAATATAACATTTGACCTAGCCTAACATTTTGTTTCACAAAATGACTAATTGGTAATGTCAAGCAAAAAGGTTTTCACTACAGTTTTTACTATCTACAATACATTAATTACAATCCTACACAGTACTATAAATTTTGTATAGTTAACCTTCAGAGAACTTTATTTTAATAAATGGCCTAAATTAAAGTAAATTATTGTTTTCGTTAGATGGAATTTAAATGTGGTTATATTGTATACGTTAGTTTGATGGCTGTAAGCCAGGGGTGGACGTAAACATCAGTCAGAGGGCCAAAGTGAACACCGAGGGCCGCACCCAAAATTTGATGTTCCAGTGAGCTTCCAAAAACCTCCAATCACTGCTTTTACATCACCTTTATTCTCAGTTTTAATGTTACCTTTTACATATCATTGGTGTCGGGCCGTAAAAAACAAGGCGTTTTCAAGCCAATTTTAATTGGCGGGCCGCAAACATAGGGTTTTTAATTCATTGTCGCGGGCCGCAAAAAATCGCTGATGGGCCGCATGCGGCCCGCGGGCCGCATTTTGCCCACCTGTGCTGTAAGCCAATCACTTACTCTTAACCTTCATCGTTAACATTAACAGAACTAGAGTGTCGCACCATGTGCCTACCTCCGCCCTGTGCCTAAATACATAATTTGCGCAAGGCGGGCGAGCGACTCCATTCTTCATGCAGCAGGATAGGTTTCAAGAAAACTTTACAGACGCGCGCTTTACAGACGTCAATCAATAAGGTACACTTTGGTTTCTCAACTCAAAAAGAGAACTTGTACGGTAATGTTTGAAAATGAAAACAATCCATATTGTATCTATATTAGGCCTATAATAATGATAATAATAGGTCGATTTATAAGGCGAAAATAAACAAGGTCTCTAAAGCACCAACAAATTATACTGTAAAAATGACACTGAATAGCTTCGTGAACACTGTTTATCACTGGTGCTAGAAGCAATCGCAAAAGTGGGGGTGGGGGAGGCCCCACCAGTGGAAAATCTGGTGGCTCAATGGTCCCTCCCACCCCCAACACCCAGGCTTCCGCCGCCGTTGATGCGTAGTGTAGGGAATACTGCAGCTTTCCTTTATAGTTTACGCAGCCAAACATTAAATTTATTACGGTACCTGTTATCAGGCCAAAATAAAATTAATAAATGTGACGTCACTTTGATGATGTGTCATTGAAATTGACACACGAGATTCATTAATACATAAAATTGTTCACGCATCACCCGTCAAGTATTCTCTGCCTACTCTCTGATTTAGTGCACTTTAGGCCTATATGTCCAACACATATTAAACAGTTATGATGTTGTGTGTTATTTTAAAGTGTCTTATTCTTACTCTAATTTCGAATATAAAATTGTTCACATGTTTTCCAGTGTATTTCCATGTTCATACATGTTCTATAACAAATATAACAAGAATCATTGCTAACTCTCCGCAACCTGTGATCCGTGCCCCAATTCAAATTTACGCCCGAGCACCTTCATAATATTTCTCCTCCCCAAACCACATCAATTAAACTGCAATATTCTGCACCCACACATAGTACAGCATTTGCTGGTTCTCTCTGGTTTTGCTATACGTCACGTCTATCTCGTAACAACCACCTGTACAGTATTTTTGTCTATCTCATCTTTTCCCACTGCCATCTAAATGCGCCATGCTCCTTTATGCATTGTCACACACAGTGGCGGCGCTACGGCATGGGGGTTTCTTTTCCCCCAGTTTTCCCGCCAGTCCGAAAAGAAGCCGTAATACTTGTATTCATAACTTTGGCAATAGTATGCCTAAGTCAATTCCAGTAAATAACCCATCATTTTAGGGTTAGTGGAGAATAAGAAAATATTTAAAAGTAAATTTTCATTTTTGTTTTTGGTCGCTGACGTTGGTTTGGGTTGCCAAGCCACAAGTTGTACATTCGAATTAATATTTGAAATTAAATCTAAATGCAAATTAGTAAGTAGACGGGTCAGCTTCATTCAATGGACCGGAGCGAACGGTCTGAACCTCATTCGATGTACGTATTGTATTTTTTTTTAATGTAATGTAGATACAATCTTTTTTAACGATATACTGTACAGTGGTAGCTTGCTGCGTTATACTATTACAGTATTTCTGTTTAACTTGATGAATTGATCACAGATGACGGGCTGGGGGATGCGTTGAATTGTTTCAGTGGCGTAGCTAGAGGTTTTGGCGCCCGGGGCAAGAGTAGAAAATTGCGCCTCCTTCCCCCCCCCCCCATTATAATTATAATATTTTGAAATTAATTGATAATGGTTGTATAGACTTTAAGCATATCCGTACTGTACATCCATATCATGAACTGTCTAAATAACATTTAAACCCAAATAACTATTATTATTCTAGCTCTCTTTTGTTCTTTCTTACCAGGGTGGCGCCAGGATTTGCCCGAGGGGGGGGGCGGGCGATGGCTGACGAGGGGGAAGATTTCCTTGACGAGAGCAAAGTGGGCGTGATAGAGCGTCGCATAAAATCTTCTGAAAGTGGTCTAGGGGTGGGGGCGAATCCCCCGAAAATTTTTGACATTTATGGGTTTCAAAAGGCTTACCGTATTTAATCGATTTTACATGAGTCTACTAATATGTACAAAATACATGTAATTTTTTTTTTCTCCCCAACGAATTATGGTTTTTCTCCCCGACGAAGGGGGTGGGGGCGCAGTTATCCGCGAAGGTGGGGTATGCCGCCATCCATTAAAATTGCATTACAATGTTCGGAACTTTGTATAAAACTTTACCATTATCCTTGCAAGGCTGTTGTATTTATCGCAAAACAGCTTAGTATTCTTATTTTCTAAATTTATCTTACAGTAGAGTCTTGAAAGTTTCTGAATTTGTAACACTGTTTAAACTCGCAACTGAATTTTGTGTGCTTTTACATCAGCAAAGAAGTTATAACATGATCAAAGTTAGCAATGTTGTTTGCTTCATCACGCTCAATACTAAGTAGTGGCAAAGCTCGCTTTTCCCATCGTGGCTCTGATATGGCAGAATGAGCTTTAGTCATGTAGTCATTACAGAATAGGATAAAAAAAAATCACAATCTATAAATTTGCCAATAAAAACAACAACATTCAGATTCTTTATTAACTGGAAAATATTCATGCCTGACGAAATACATCAATTTTGTCGTGTTCTTCTAAAAAGTGCTTATTTATTTACTCTCATTCTCCTATTTCAGCGCCACCTCAAACATGGCGCCCGGGGCACGTGCCCCCCCCCCCCCCCAGACTCTCCCTAGCTACGCCACTGAATTGTTTACATGTGCGTCTGAATCACTCTAGTTCAATCGAAGCACGGGCGTTTTATTGTGATTCTTCGAAAGGTCGGTAACAATGAGGTCAGGTGAATATCCACAAACCACCATGTGCAAGGGATTTTAGGCGAGAATAAAATGCACGCAAGCATATCGGTTGAATAATGACACGTGTCCTTGGTTGGATTTCCTTCATTCCATTGTACGTCCGTTTCTTTTATACCAGGTTAAATGCAAGTTATTTTCTTTTAATCTCACCTTCTCAATGTGAATTTAGTACGGTAGTTTTTACAAGGAGGTATATACCTCCTTGGTTTTTAGGCACTGCAGCTGCTATCATCATAGGTCATGGTTGTACAGTATTCTGTAGATAATGTAAGTGTACGTCTCTTTTATTGCATTTTGTTTACTTCATTATTATTAACACGTCACAGGCAACTATAATGATAATTATTACCGTATTTGTCTATAACTATTAAATGTAACACGACAGCATAGTTTGTATTGAATTGCTCTGTGTACATAAAATAGTTAGAAAAGGTGTGAGCAACTTAGCCTAACTATGGATGGTTATTCGTTTCGAACTCTAGGCCTATATGTTAGAAATCATATACAGGTATTATATTGTAGCCTATCAGGTTGTACTATTATGATATAGCCTCCCTGATGCTTTAGAATTTTTTAAACTTACAATATTTTGAAGTGCGAAACAGCGCTGGCCTATTTGCAGCACGCATTTCCATAACGGGCCGTACTAAAGCAAAGCCTACGGCGAATGCTCATTTGAAGCCGTTTTATAGGCCTACAATTTATGAGAGTCTTCCGTACACCAACATATGTGCTTTAGATATAGTAAGCTACAGTACCATCATTTATTTTAATAATAAACAACACAGATAATCGTTTTACAGTACTGTTCGAAAGAGTAGTCAATTGTGCAAAACATATGTCTAATCAGTTACTCTGATATTTTGCTAAGTGTTCTTCAGTAGTAGTAGTCGTATGATGAAAGAATGATTTCAATCAGACTGGAATGAACACAACCACCAAAAAAAAAACTTACAATTTCGACTTCTTTCTACAAGCCGAAAAAAACAATTCAAATACTATATCGTTCTAAGGTTAATAAATAACCTTCTCTCCTTCCCGTTTCAGGCCTAAAGCAAAGTTGAAAGTGGCTGGTAGGATTTTGTATTCTATTTATTATCCATGAAGAGGTATAGTATGCAGCAGCTTTGCTATGTGATTCATGAGCCTTAAGGTAATTGTATCTCTATATTTGTATCTTCTTTACAATTTATATAAAAACTATCCTAATGTCTCTATACCTTTTTTGTTCCACCCAGAACTTTATAAATACTTCTGTTTGTATACCAGATGCATCCCCACTAACATTTTGAACTTCATATTTCAAAATGGTGCTTGTATCTTGTCTATATTTTCTTCACAATTTGGTATTTACCTTTTCGACGTATAGGCCTAGCTCTCTAATACATTCTGCAAATCTCTTTAAAATGTCCTCTCTGTCGATAGCATGTTTGTTCGTCTGTCTCTGACTTCATTTCATTCGTCTTTATTTGACCTGTCATCAAATTGACAATATACAGTAACACGATCATCCATCACCATCTTTATCATTATCACCACCAGTCAGTTTTTTTTCCGGGGTTAGAAATTTTTTATGAGTAAAGGTAAAAGTACAAGAATAACCCGTAACTCACAGCGTCATTGTGCTGAATTTCGTATGGGGGTGGTCCGTGACTAGCCGCCGTAAAGAAGTGCTTTAGGTAGCTACCTTTGCGCATCATTCCTCAACAACAGGGACTGAAATAAAACATAGCATCGGGGTATACAACCCCATACTCTTCCGAAAAATGCAAAAGCGCACACGAGCCAGATGAGTATGCTGGGATCAATTTTACTAAGTCATTAACCAACAAAATCCTGTGCGAAGAGTGACTGGAACCAGCTCGGATGTTGGTTTACTTAGCGGTGCCCCAGCCTTATCGCTCGACCACTCGACTCGCCACTACACTACTTCGTTATCTATATCAGACTCTTTCATATATTGCGATTATCAAATTACGCCTGATCCTCAGTATGCCTGATGACTCACGGTCAGGGGTAAATATGTATTCTCGTCTCAGTGATCATTCACTTCTAAGGCCTTGTCATATTTTTGTGCATCGATCTACGTATGCTATTTTTCTAGTAAAGTAACATGCAAGTCCAAAATTGAAATATTTAAGCAAGAATGGCCTATATCAGTAAAGCCTTTAGACTTGATTGTGTCTCTTTCAATTATATACCATCTATTTATAGAACCTAGTGGTGGCGTATGAACGTTAGTAAAACCCTGGAATTCAAGCCCTTATTTTTAAATGTAGATACAATTATCTGCTTATATGCATGCATGGGTCCTCAATGACAAAACATATAGATAAGATAAATGCAATACACTAAATTGCTTTGAATTGTCTAAATATTAATTAAAAAGGGGCTGTAATTGAATTGGTGACGTGATGTACTGTGATAACCTATACTGTTGAGTTTGGTACTTTGATTTATGTTACAATGTATGGTTAATCAAGAATCAATCACACGGAGGATGTGTGCGTTCATGCTTATAAACTTATTGAAAGGCACATAGTTTTATTATATTTTGTTATTTCAAAATCACACAAAAGTAAAAACTTATTATTTTAACTATTAATATTGCTTTTTAATTATCAATTTATTATTATAAAAATTTTTATTACATTTTAATAAGAAAGTAAAAAATTACCACCAGCCACTGAGAGTTGCAATGAATACGGCATCAGAAGAAAAGCAACGTCAGGAATATCAATTTAAACAGCGCTGAAAATGGGAAAAAGGAATTGAAAAACAATTCTGGAAATTTGAGAAGATATCAAATAATTAAGAATATGATACGGCATTGTTTTACAGGCCCATATCAGGGGCGGATCCAGAGATGTCCAAAAAAAAGGGGGGGGGGCGCGAGAGAGGGGCAGAAATTTGGGCCGATCGGGACAACAATGTGGTGTTCTAGACGCCCGAAAATAACATTTGAGGCGTTCTGGGTTGTCATTTTTTTTCTTTTTCTTTCTTTTTTCTTTTTTTTTTACCTCCCAGGGCCGCCTCCCCCCCCCTAAATCCGCCCCTGCATATAGTGGATGGGGTGGTGCGATTGTTGCGTACTTACATAAGACACTCAGTTTTCAATTTGCCTTATCGTATTGTTGCAAACATTTATCTACTATGATTACTTATTAACTCAGAAGGTCTATAGTTAAGATTATCACTGAAATAAAATCCTACAATTATTTATGATATGTTTACAAACGTTGTTTGCCTATCGAGATACTTATAGATTACTCCCGTTCCAATTGTCGTAACAAAGTTTATCATTAATCCAGTTGAGTTTGAAACTCAGAGTTAGAAACTCGGAGATTTACACGGTATCGCCGATTTTGTGCCACGATATTTCTCAGTTTCTTTGTTACAAACAAACCGCATATTGTAACGTCAACAGTTGAAAATAGCACACGAAGGGCAAGGTACGTAATTCCAGAAGAAGTGTTCCTCTAACAAGCCTCAAGCTTGCAGCACACAAACTCATGGTGCCTTATAAAGTACAATATTCAATATTAGTTGGCAGGATTCCACCATGTACCAAACTGTGTCCATTTAGTATGTCGGTGTTGGTACTGAACCAAACAGCAACGATTCATAATTTAAATCCGATAACCAATCCGCTATACGTAGACTACACCCTTTGCTTAACAATAGGCTCAGAGCTTCAAAAGAGCTTTCTTTGTTTTTGTAGGTATCTTTGATCATTAGAGTAAGAATGCTTTGATCTTTTGTTTAAATCACTGCTATGTCTACTAGAGGTAATGGTTTGATTGGTTAAACACTTTTGTACTAGTGCATATAAGCTTGGTAATATGGATATTTTTTTCATTCCTGATGATGACATAATTAATGTGGAAATATTGAATCCCAACACGATGGCGTGTATTTCAATACTTGGAGTATGTATAATATACTTTCTAATATTCCATAGCTTTTTTTGCTATTACCCTATATCATAGATGGAAGAAGGTCAATTCGTTGTGGAAATCCACAGGAAATATAACGGAAGTCCAAAATATCATCAGTACATTTGGTCGATGTGTACGTTTGGAAAGACATTTTCGTAATATCTTGTCTCATTATTGTCTTGCCATCTTTTTTTTTTTTTTTTTTTTTTTTTTTTTTTTTTTTTCTTTTTTTTTTTTGTAATTCTTTTTTTCTTTTTTTTTTAGTCAGTATTGTTATTGTAATCCAAATGTTGTTATCCTGTGTTAATAAACGTAATGGTACTTTCTTCAAATGATTCATATATAAAAGTGTTTTTATATTTCAGGTATGAGCCTATAGTGTTACAGAGGCGGAACAAAATAAAGTATGTGGACGGTGAAATTATTCAGCGCTGACCAACTACCATCAGTATTTCACGAGCCGTTCATTCTGAATGGGTACCGGGCTTCTGAGACGAGCGTAGTCGAGTGTATAAAAAGTACATTACAATGTACCAATGAAACGGTAAATTTTTGGACGCACTTCGTGCCATTTTTATACACTGTGTGGCGTATTGTGCATTTGAGATATTATCTTGATTTCGTCAACGACCCATTCACTTGGCCGTTGCTGGGGCTACTCATATGCATTTCTCTATGTTTATCTGCCAGTTGCTTTGCGCATCTTTTTAACTGCTTATCTGAACGGGCTTGCCATATTTGTTATTTTTTTGATTACTCATCGTTGGGTATTTACAGTTTGGCATCTTGCATCGCCTACAGATATTATGTTTTTCCACATTGTTTGATGAATACAGAGTATTTCAATATATACATACCAATTGGAGCACTCAATGCTATTTTATGGTGTACATTTGGTGCGTGTTGGTCTCGTTTTATGAATATGGGTTTATTCCGCCATTTGTTTCGTCTTTCGGTGCTCATTGTCCCGTATGTGTTTTGTAGCCTGCCACTTTTATATCGTGTATTCGTGTGTCCAGACAAAGAATGTGAAGCTGCCTCTGTTACTGTGCACCGACAACATTTTGTCGCAGCATTCTGCTCAGCGTTCATTTTTGCAACTCATCTTCCGGAGAGGTTGGCACCAGGGAAGTTTGACGTCTTTTTACATAGCCATCAACTCTTTCACGTGATTACAGCCACAGGGACCATTCTTCAAGTGAATTCTGTAATAATTGACATGAATGATCGACGCGCTTTTCTGGAATCGGAAATAGGGTTGCCAACATATTGGTATTCGCTTGGTTTGATTACAGTAGTTTTTTCTTTACAAATGCTTCTTATTTTATGTTTTTCTGTTTGGGTTTATAGTCGTCCAGAAGAATCAAAGCATATTTACCCCAAGTCTCAAAATACTAATAATGACAATCTGGAGCCATGTGCTGAAACTATTAAGCATAAACTGAAGAGTGGGAGCAGCAGTAAATCAAACGTGTCTCAGGAGCATATTAAATTTATAAATAAGTGCAGCGCCGAGAGAAATCTCGAAATAATGACTAAAATAAAGAAACAATAAGTTTGAAGATTTACAAGAATATTTGATTTTAAAAGAAATTATTTTTTTCCAAAATGTTAGGCGGAAATAATATAAAAATCTTCATTAGGCCTTTACTGTGTCAATACGAATGTCTTAGTATTATAATTGTCGCATTAATAATAAATTAATTGAAAAGTACGGTGTCTTAATCCCAAGGCTAATGGATTACTCAATATAATCAAATTTTGTTAGCAGAAACGGTCTGGCTTAGAATAGACATTAGCTTAAAAAAAGTACATATACAGGTCACCTTTTTGATATTAGAGAGGTACTAGGTACAAAGATTAATAATATTTACACCAAAATAAAAAGGCAGGTTTTCCGAAATGATTATATTGATTTCGTTATTATTCATGTTTGTTTATTCATATAAAAAAAATCATACGGAAGTTTAAGAAACAGTGTTACGTTTATGTAGAGCAGGGAGATTGTCTAATAATTTATTAAAGTTCTTTTAAAATCTTGAAGTGTATATATTCAGTAGGATGATGCTATATATATATTATATATATATATATATTCTATTTAATTCTTTAAGTAAAAAGCAAACTTATATGTGGTAAATGAATGATGAAATAATGGGAATCTTTAAGCTAAAATTTAGAACAAAAACATAAATATAGGCACTTTTAACCAAAAAATAAAAAATAAAAAAAAAATAATAAAATAAATGCTAGTATACTATGCTGTTTGTATTTAGATAGACCTACATAATAAAAAAACTGTTAATGAAGTTCCTTGCAGAGCGTGCAGTGTAAGAAGACCCAAGTCATGAATAGAGACGACGGAACAATTTTTTCTTAATTCACATTATGATCCTATGTTGACAGTAAGTGAGCCGTCTACAGTTAGGAGTAACTCATCTGAGATGATTTGATCATCACTCTGAAGAGTGGTATCTTCTGGTGTACTCAAAACTGTCAAAAACACGAGTTAAATCTATTATGTTATTTATGATGAAAAAAATAATTAATTTGTTAACTCAAAACATGTGGTTCCATAAAGTATAGTAGGAAAATTATCTTTTTAGTTGAACAAATTAGTTGTTTACCTTAGAAAATTCTTTACCCAATTCATCCAAGGGTACATTAGCCTATAGAAGGTGACCGTAGCAGTTGCTTAAACCTTTGTGAATGTAAGCAACTAATTGGTTCAACAAAAACGAAAATTTTCCTTCTAAAAGTTAATCAAAATGTGATTTCATTGGTATGACGGCAGTGGCGTAACGCCTATGGGTCTCTGAAAATACTGATACTAAGATTGCCTTTTAGTGGAGTTAATGTTCTCAGGTTAGCGAATACTTTACTGAACGTTTATAGGCCCACGATCGACTCGTTGTCGTTACACCACTGCATGTCAGTGACAGCAGTAACTGTATAGGCATTACAATCTATATAATTCATTAGCATGTTTTAACTAATACCTCCATTTATAATAAATACATGCCAGCCATATTTAGTGGCTCAGTAGTATATATGCATTAATATGTATATATCAACAAAACATGTAAAAACGTGAAGGTTGTAAATAAACTTACTGTAATATTAGTCAATGATTGCCAAATATTCTCCATATTGAGAATGGTAAAATTTTAATAAGTTAGTAATTTTCATTTAAGTGTTTAGAACGATAACAATTTCTTTTCTCGACATTAAACGCAGAAATAGTAGTAGTGTATCCTTAGGGTCGGTAAATCAGTGAAAACTTTTTTTTCTATTTAAAGTGAAGTTGATGACTTATTCTATTCTTCTAAAATATTATTTGGATTCTTAGATTTTAGAACTGTTGCAGATAATAGATTTGAAAGTGAAAATATACCAAATATCCTAGAAGTAACCCACCTTAAAAGTTATCTATAATAATGACCCACTACTCAAACATTACAACCAAATCTACATTTTCAGGTGTTTTTTTCTTTTACTATATCTAGCCTATGTTAAACTGTGATAAAGTCAAATGTGTGTGAAACTGTGATTGAAGATGACCCGTGAAGTTCAGAGTGAGATGATGCACGATTTCATATCTGTTGAATAAAAGTTATAAATGTAAGTTGATATTCTCGATTCTGTGCCTTGGTGGTTTCATTCTTCAAGACGAATACTAGTATGTTCAGTGACTGGCAACGCCTTCGGGGCTTCATCTCCGGCTATACTGTTGAACCTTCCAGTACATTAGCTGAAGTTTGCGCAATTGCAATCGCCTTTACTGTTTGTTCTATCTTCACATTGGCCTCGGTTTTTGCAGCCTCAAACTTAGCGTGTGCCCTCTTGCTTACGAATTATGGCACGCCAGGACGGACATAATGATGATGATGATGTTGATGTTGTTGTTGATGTTGATGTTGTTGTTGATGTTGTTGTTGATGTTGTTGTTGATGTTGTTGTTGATGTTGTTGTTGTTGTTGTCATCTTATTAGGCGCATGTATCCATCTCTTGGTAGAGCTGCTCGCAGCGCCGTTTTCCACCTGCAGAGTGTAGGCCTACATGCAGCCTTTGTTCTGCATTATTATTTTGAATTAATTAATTATATTTAAATTATTTATTTTTATCTATATTTATTTATGACAGACCTGACATAGATGGGAAAGATTTTAGGGCACAGCATTTGATAACATGATGTTTTTTTCTCCCGGAACTCGCGGGAGTCTCCCGGAAATCGGGACGACCTTCTGCAATTAAGCAAGAATCTCCAGGAAATAACCCATCTCCCTACTGATATTTGCGTGTTTTAAATATTTTATTATCAATTGTTTCATAGAAGTCAGTGCCGATGGGTATCACTGTATGCAGTCATATATAAAATTAAATTTGTTAAAGTCACAACCACTGCAGATCAGAAGAGGATTCAAAGGGAGCTCCCAATTTTTTTTCAAAATTATATAAAATTCCTAATTCCTTGATCAGCCACTGTTACTGAAATAAATAACAAATAAATAAACATCCTTGTCTAACGCCACGCTCCATATTAAAACATTTGGGTATCCATCGATTGTTTGTTATATCACGTTCTGTTTCTTTATATATTATTTTAATAAAATTGATGATGCTCTGTTACTGAAATTAAGTACACATTTTCAATTCAAATAATATGCTCAAATAATAGTTTGTTGTTGGTTAAAAAATATTGATAATGATAATGTGTTGGAAGAACATATTTTTCTTCCTACTGATTTAATATTTTCTATTAGTTATTATGTGTGCATCGTTACACAGCTTCATGATATAAGCTTTGCTCATCAACTACATCTCCAAGCAAATTATTATTATTAGTTGATAAGCAGATTATTACAATTAAATTTGAACACTAATTACCAAGCAATATGTCAGTAAAACTTTTTTAAACTAAAGTAATCATTGCACCATAAACGAAATATAATTTATTTTGTTCTTGGCTTTGACAGTTCATGTTGCTTTTAATTTAATTTATCAGTTAAATACTGCTTGGTATTTTTGTTTTTAGTTTTTTCAATTTACTTGATCTTGAGAATAGTTCCATGATGGACCCGAAACGTCGATCTTTCTTGTCATTAAATTTTGTTTTGAAATTATATAGTAAGCGTCTCTTAATTCGTCAGTTAAAAAAATGCCATGAAAATTCATAGGCCTGGGTTGATTTTTTTTTGTAAGGTGTTTAATTCGGAAAGTGAAAAATAAACTGTAGACTAATGTTAAAATGTTTTGTTTTGGTTTTTCTTTTAATTCAGAAACAGAAAATAAACTGTACAGTAAAATGAAAGTGTAAAATTGTTTGAGAAGGAATCAACACAGGAATGGTAACAAGTAAATTTCACAACTTGTCCAACCAGCAGATGATACTAAAATCCTTTTTTTTTTACAAACATGTTGGTGCTTGGTTAGATGAGACCTTGCCGTGTGAAGTTCTGCATCCATCCTTGAATTGCGTCAGAAGCTGTACCGCCACAATAGGGAGTTTTCGCTGCACGACGTTAACCTTAACGTTAACGGATGACGTCATAATTTATTCATCTTGCGTTACGGAGTACGTTAATTTCAGGATTTTACGTACTCGACGGATATTTACGGGATTGCGCATGTGTATTTCGATTTGTTTACAAAAGGGGTGGAGTTATCGCGTTGCATGTTGGGTACTAAGGTTAAAGGTAAGGTTAACGTCGTGCGGCGAAAACTACCTAATAAGCCTGTTCGTCATATAACACGCTATAGCGTTGGTAGAGCTTTAGATGAAAACGGATTACCAAACACGAATCAGAATTCCTTATCATCAATTTCATGTAAACGATTCGATTCTTTGATTGTTCAAAAAAGTGACAATAAAAGAATTTTCTATCTTACATCTCAACTGTATTTGCAAAATAACTTTTTCGATGCTTTTCTAAAATCTGAGAGGTGAAACCAGTAGATGATAGGGTTTGCAAGCGAGTTCCCAGTAAGTAAAGCGTAAGTTACTCCTATAATGATCCCCATGGCTCTTGAAGCTACGGAACAGCCAAGCAAATATGCTAAAATCACAATAACTGTATTTGGTCCCCATGTTAAGACGAATAGTCCTATGATAGTAATGAAGGTTTTAAATATTTTTTTGAATTCCGCAATTTCGTTATGAGATTTAATTACATTCGAACGAGATTGGCAGAGATTTCTGTAGATGTTGACATACAAGAATATAGTGAGTATCATTTCTAATAAAAGTGTACTGCTGAAAATAAAATAGATGCTCATAAAATCACTGCTGAGGATGATGTGAATTATAAACATATATAAGAATGGTGCTGCCACAATAAGTACGCTAGTGAGGATGTAACGACGAGTTGTAACAATGGCGTGGTACCGCAAAGGTGCCCATACTAGCGCAATAGATCGATCAACAGCAATAGCGGTAATTGTCAATGCAGACGATAGCATGAGTCCATCACTTATTGTAAAAAACACCATGATCAAAAGTTTATCACCATATGAAATAAAGAAAGTTGGAAACGTTGATATACAAGTTGCTGCGTCTATAACCGCCAACAGGCCAATAAATATATTTGTTGTTTTCCGTAGCCTCTTGTTAGTGAAGAACAACATTACAACGAATGTGTTTGCCAGAAAAGATGACGATGTTAGAATATACAATAATATCCTTAACTTCTTCACGTCGGAATCTGTCATATACTCAAATAATGCTGTGCAATTTTCCATCTTGATCATCAAGCAAGTAAAATGTTTAATAATGTAATAACTTTCATATAGTCTCCTGTACGTTACAATAATTGCTACTGCGTTGGTCTCCGTTTATATATATCGGCTGGATTTGTTCACCTAATAAAGTCAGCATCAATTTAGTGCGCATTGTGTACCTGTTTCTGACTGACAAGTGGATAATTATAATGAAATGAGATATGCAAAATATCAATAAAGATGTCAGTAAAACTAATTCCACTGATACGGTGTTTATGTACTTGCCATGTTTGTGTCTACTGTCCCCTCGGTGGGGGGGGGGGGGGGGCAGGAGGGGGTGCAGTAGACACAATGTTGTCGTCTAGCACCCTGTAAGAGCAAATCCGGTATGGAGGAATGATGGGATGAGGCATGAGATAAAGATTAAAATGAAAAGCAAGTCTACGAAATATGATGCCATACTAAATAAGACCTCCTCCCACAGTAAGTTATCAATTTGACAACAACACGGAAAGCTAGATAAGACATGTCCTATATTGTTCACTAAAAAGTCACTACAGTAGCAAAAAAAAAAAAAAAAAAAAAAAAAAAAAAAAAAAAAAATTTAAGCAGTATTCTTTACAAATTAAAAAAAATGTGAATATATTTTTATTTTTTGCCAGATGCCCTAAATGTATTCTAAAGTTGTTGTCAGATGTAAGATATTGCCATTCTAGGCCTCTGTGGGTTATTTTTATTCCATCTGATGAGTATTCAAAAAAAAAAAAAAAAAAAAAAAACCTTTTTTCCAATTTTTATTCTTAGCTTCTAACATATTTTTTTTCATTGCGTTTGATTGGATAGCAATAAAATACTTGGAATTTAATAGAAAGCTTATTGTTAATTAAAGGCGACAACCAAATACAAAGTTCTATAAAATACTATTACAATTATATGTATCAATAATCGGCAAGGTGGATAATGCATACTTCGTGTAAAGCATGGTAGAGTTTAGATGAAATTTGATTACCAAACACGAATCAAAATTCCTTATCAACCATTTTATGTAAACGATTTGATTCTTTGATTTGTTCAAAGTAGTGACAATAAAAGAATTTTCTATCTTACATCACAACTGTATTTGCAAAATAACTTTTTCGATGCTTTTCTAAAACCTGAGAGGTGAAACCAGTAGATGATAGGGTTTGCAAGCGAGTTCCCAATAGAAAAAGCATAAGTCACCTCTACACTGATCGATATTTCTCTTGACGCTATGGAACAGCCAACTGCATATACTAAAACTCCAATTACTGCATTTGGTCCCCATGTTAAGGTGAATAGTCCTATGATGGCAATGAAGGTTTTTAATTTTTTTTTTTTTAAATTCTGCAATTTTCTTTTGAGATTTAATCACAGATTGACAGAGATTTATGTAGATGTTGACATACAAGAAGATAGTGATTATCAATTCTAATAAGTGTACTGCTGAAGATAAGATAGAAGCTCATTAAATCACTGCTGAGGATGATGTTAAGTATAAACATACATAAGAATGGTACTGCCACAATAAGTACGCTTGTTATGACGTAACGACGAGTTGTAACAAGGGCGTGGTACCGCAAAGGTGCGCATACTAGCGCAATCGAACGATCAACACCAATAGCGGTAATTGTCAATGTAGACGATAACATGAGTCCATCATTTATTGCATAAAATAGCATGATCAAAATTGTATTATCATATGAAATAATAGGAGTTGAAACCGTTGATATGCAAGTTGCTGTGTCTATAACCGCCAATAGTGCTATAAATATATTTGTTGTTTTTCGTAGCCTCTTGTTAGTGAAGAACAACATTACAACGAATGAGTTTGCCAGAAAAGATGACGATGTTAGAATATACATCAATATCCTTAACTTCTTCACGTCGGAAT